ATCCACCACACATTTCGCCACAAGTAAGCGATGCCCGAAGTCCGTGGCTTGCCTACTCAATGTCATCCAATGACCCGATGACAATCTCTGAGACTACATCAAACGGTTCAACTTGGAGCAACTTTAGATTCCCAACCTCGACCTACTCATCCTGCTCACCGTAGAGGTCAATGGCGTCTAGCACCCTGACTTGCACTGGGAGGTCAAGTTGAACTCTCTGGCCTCCATGGAGGAGTTCCTCAACCAAGTAGCCAAGTTTACAAAGGTCGAGCAAGTGTTTGGATCCCAGTTGGAGTTGAAAGTCAAATGAAAGAGGTCAGAAGATGAGTCAGGGAGTAGCAAACAATGACGTAAGAGCAAGTCACCAAGGCATAGCATGTCCCCCCGCAACCATCGTAGGAGGTCACCGTGGGGAAGAAACAAGTCTCCATATAGAAGCATCAGATCCTCAGGCCAGCATTCTCGCACCCCACCCATCTAGAACTGTAACTACACTGTGCTGAATGCGAAGAAGGGAAAAATTCTGATGCAAATCAAGACGATCGAGTATGTCAGATGACCACCTTGGATGAGAGGAAACCTGTTAATAGGAACCCGAACAAATATTGCCACTTTCATCGGAACATTGGCCATGACACTAAGAATTGCTGTAACCTCAAAGAATAGATAGAGGAGCCAATCTACCGAGGTTACTTGAAGCAGTTCATCAAGCGGGAGGACCGAAGCCAACCTACCGATCAGCCAAGAGAAGTGCCACAATCGAGTAGGGACCAGAACAGAGACCAACATCCTCCAGACCCACCACCAACAGAGCATCCCATCCATGGTTCTATTAACATGATCACGGGAGGGTCCATAGTGGTAGGAAGCAACAACTTGGCGGGAAAGAACTCAGTTCGAGAGCTTGAGCATAGGGACGAGAACTCGTTGAAGTGCCCTCGTGTGGAGTAGGTGATTTACTTCACCAAGGATGACATTCGCGGGATCTAGTATCCGCACGATGACACCCTCATAGTCATGTTAGTCATAAATGACTTTGAGGTAAAGTGAATTCCAGACAACTTTGGAAGCTCAACTGATATTATCTTCTTGGAAGCGTTCAAGCGGATGGAGTTCGAGAAGAAGGACCTGCAGTTGGCCGACGTCCCTAAAGGAAATGAGAGATCCATTATATGGATGGCCTTACCCTACAGGTAGGTTGTGCGAAATTTCAAAAATTTCTCTCTCTCCCATATGGGAATCACATTCCCTGTTTTAGAAAATCTGCATTTTCAATGATCAATCTTGAACCTAAACTGAACCAGATCTGAAACCAAAAAGTAGGAGAGGGATATACCTGATACAGAGTAGCAGTAACTCCCAATGAAGGTGTTCACGCCCAAAGAAATCTCCAAAGACTGCTCCCACTAAAGATGATACAATGTAGGGTGGAGCAGAATCAGCAGTGTTCTTCCCAAAAACCGAACCCTTCAGCAAGAATTTGATGGAGGCTGTGAACACGACTTCAGAGAAAGACTGATATCAAGAACTATTCTTGATCGCTCCTACAAGAATGGAGATCGAACTGGCAATTAGCAGCAACTAGAGGAGAACACAAGGAGAAGATGGCACTGTCACACTATTGTTGTCTTCTTTCTTTGTGATCTAGGATCTGATGTCTGGGGTTTTTAGATCGTTTTGAATGGTTCCCCCCTCCTCCTTTTATAGACTAAAAGAGATCAGCTCCTAATCCCATTAGGAGTTTCCTGATTCAAAACCTTATTTAAATCTGGACTTTCTTTAAGTGATAAGGATAGATCCTTATCTTATCTGTAGATTAGATCAGCTCTCATAATCTCATTATGAGGTTTCCAGATCCAAATAGAGATTTGGATTTAGACTCTCTGAGTGAATAGGGATAACCCCCTATCCTATCTACTGATCCAAATCCCAAATCCGCCATTGTTTAACTAATCATATTAGACCAGTTCGAAATGAGCTTTAAGCCCAATAAGTCCATGTGCTCAGTAACCCTCCAAATTGCTGCCTAATTGGATTTCTTTGTATGGTGTGAGACCCAAACATTGATCTACACATCAGCCACATGGGTTCAGCATAGCCTCTGTTACAAGTCCTAGCCGAATACACTATTATGGACAGTGAACCCCTGAGCCCATCACCATGGGCTCTTAATGGGCCCAACACTTACACTAAGTGGTCCCTGGGCCAAGCCACCTTATAAAAACCCAAGGACTGTGAGCAGATGCAAGATTAGCCCATCAGGTATTACCCTCAATGGTCTTACACCTAACCTCTCAGCGCATAATGATCAAACACTGCCCAACAAGAGAGGACATATATATATGTCTATCCGTATATAAATATATTTTGCAAAACAAAATTCAACGATTGAAATCGGCTGTCGGCAGTCTTGGTTTCCATTAGAGAGAGTGCATCCCCGATCATTACCTTTGTTCGACAAAAGAGTTGATCCTGTCACTATGATCACCCACTCAGATGAATTCTCATACTGTCCCAACATACCCAGGTTTTGACCCCCTCTAAGAATCTCACTGATTGGGATATCAAAGACAGCCCAATCCGACACCTAGTGCAATATCATAATCAAGTCTAGGGGTCAGGTGTAACTTTTCAGTTTTGCCCATCAATCTCCAATGTCCAGTGCAATACTGGAAATCTGGTCTGGTTCAGGGTTTCAAGTAAACCTACACTACATGTACCTCGGGTCTCACCCTATCAGCTGAGACAGGCTACCCCAACCAACTTGGCGGTACATCAGTGTCAGCCTTGGCAAGATAAATCGTCCCAGACTTATCCAACGGCTGTGAACATTCTAAACTAATACGAGTCTCATAAGTGTCCAGTTTAAGGGTATTACACAGAAACACACCACAATAACATGAATCAAATATGTACTTTATTCGTTTACAATAAATGTCATAATGTACATCATTCTGATTGGAGGCGTTCGAACGGATGGAGCTCGAGAGGAAGGACCTACAACTGGTCGACGTCTCTTGATCGGCTTTAGCAGAGATGTGGTGCGGCCCCTAAGTCGGGTGAGAGTGCCAATAGCATTGGGCTTGGCACTGAACTCAGTACACTTCGATCACGACTTCCTAATGGTTACGACACCCTCGCCCTACAAACGCCATTTTTGGCTGACCTATCTTGCATGCCCTTTGAGTGGTAGTGTCAACTTATTATCTGTCGAAGTTTCCGACAGACTATGGAGTAGGAGTGGTGTGAGGTGATAAGCTCAAGTCTCGCAAGTGCTACGTGGCTGCACTAAAGGGGAAAGGAAAGCAAGTTGTTGACATTGACTTGGAGCCACCTTCGAAGAATGGTGACGAGAGAGCTCGCCCCATGGGGGACACCGTCCTAGTGCTAGTCTCAAATACTAATCCTGAGAAGATGATGCAGATCAGAGTTCAATAGAAATTCCCGAAATAGGCCCCTCTATCATAACTCAGGCTGAATGTTGACCCTTTAGTCAAATATGTCCGACAGATGAAGAGGAACCTTGCCCTGGAGTGGTGGAGGATAGTAGATGTGGAGGTTAGGAAGCACCTCGCAGTATACTTTGTTAGAGAGGTTCAATACTCGAGCTGGATTGCCAACTTAGTGCTCGTGAAGAAAGCCAACGACAAGTAGCACATGAGTTACGGACTAAGCTCAACATGGTGGAAGTAGTTTGTGACTTAGCCTATATCCGAACCGCAACATACCAGCAACGAGTAGCTCGGTATTATAGTGCCCGAGTTAAGAGACGCCAATTTCGAATTGGCAACCTAGTACTCAGGAAGGTTATGGTACTTGAGCTCGACGTGGGAAAGGTAGGTCCGAATTGGAAAGGCCCCACAGAGTTCTCAAGGTGATTGGTGAGGGTACGTACGAGCTCGAAACTTTGGATGGGAGGCAGGTACCCTGTGCGCGGAGCATTGATAACTTAAGGAGATATTATCTATGAAGAGTTCAAAAGTTTTAAACTATGTCCACACCAACCTCAGAGTACGTTAGCAATTTGACAACTCAGCATTGTTTTGACTTAGCCAAAATCATTAGTCTAGTCGCTTTGGCACCTAAACAATTGGTGCACCTCGATACCTTGGCACATCGGATTGCGTTTCTAAGACTTAGCCTACTTTATAAGGCAAAAAGATAAAGACATAGGATGTGCAAAAAGGTGGCTCCATTAAATAAAAGAAGAAAATAGTACATCGCTACTCAACAAAAAAATAATAAATAAAGGAAGCCGAGCTCGAAAGCTTGGCATATGTGAGCGTCGGAAAAACTGGCTCACTTGCCACTTGGGCTGGGAATGGAGTCACCAATTAAAAAATGGAGTCACCAATTAAAAAATGGAGTCACTTGCCATCAGTTAAAAAATGGACGTGATGGAACCTCCGAGAATGGCATCATCATTTTACTAAATAGTGACTCCAAAGTCAAAGGGACTGGTCTAACTAGTCTGGGTAAGACTCAGATGGGAGAGGGAAGGGGTTAGGTACCCCTATCCCAAGTCCGATAGGTGGGGCCCACATGGTAGCTCAAAAAAAAAGGAATAACTAATCTATGGACTAAAAGAATAAAAAAATAACAAGGAACATAACATCATAAAAAAATTCATTGCATGAAGCTTTTGATATTAAGAGATAATAAAGCTATAAAGAAAACAATACAAGAGAAAAGCATAGGATGAACATTATAGAACCAAAGAAAAGAAATTAATGATAACAGGAAAAACTGAAAACAGCCTATTCAATTAAAACAAACATGTGTAAAACCTAAGAAACTGACGATTAAGATCAAGAAGAAACAAACTGATTTTACAGAAACCTTTTGTAATAAACGAAGCAAAATCTGGACTGGTAGAGAGTTACTAGGGCTGAATCAGCCAGGTCTCTCTCCTCCCAGCTGAGATATAGTAAAACCAACAGGCACATGAGAGAGCACGAATGAAACCAAACAGATGAGCAGAAATGAGCATTGAGCGTTACCTAACTAAAATGTGGCTTGAATTTAGAATGCTGCAAGGGAAGATTTCGGCCTCGAGGTTTCTCTTCGGATGACACGATGAAAATGAGGGAGTGCGTATTCTGGCCCGAATTCGATCACTGAAACAGGGATGTCGTGGTTTATCTTCTAGCATCAAACAGACATGATGTTTGGTGCTTCCTGATCATGGTGTTCGGTACGTTCTACAGGAGGTGATCAGAGATTACGACAGTTGCGCGAACCCTCCCAACCTGGGGTTCGCCGGACTCTGGATGAGGTTTGTGAAACAAGTGAGGTCGCGGTTCGTTGCAGATGAATATGCGATAGCCCTCCCAAAAACAGAGAGATAACAGACTGTGTTGAAGATGACGAAACTCTCTCCGGATTTCGCAGAAGGAGGAGAGGAGTTAATGAGGGAAGCTGGCGCGGAGAGAAACGGGAGAACCCAAGAGTGGAAGAAATCTGAGAGAAGCCAAACTCTGGTCACCGTCGTCGCCTTCTCGTCTCCGAGATGGGGATGATGAACAGTAGGCTTCGGGGGATTGGAAGAAGAAGAATGTCGCCGCTGCTCTGGTTCGGACGGAAAAGAGTTCAGATCTACCGTTGCTACAACCTGCAGTGGCGATGACGAGAGGTGAACCGAGAGAGGGTGGGGTGAGAGCAAGGAGAGAAAAAGGAGGAGGAGAAGGAGAAGGAGAAGAAAATAAGAGAGAGGGATCAGTGGAGAGAGACTTCCGCCGATCTGCCGCTGTGTGTCGAAGGGTGAGGGAGAGTGAACAGTAGCTGAATATCCCCTCCCTCTCTGTTTTCCTTGGCTTAGGGTAAATTCAGTTTAAGGTTTGTTTTTATGAGGAGACCGGAGATATTTTGGTAATTTTAGAGGTTTTGGGGGTATTTTTATAATTTATAAAAAGGGTTAAACTGGGTTTAAGGGGTTGAACTGGGGTTCTGATTGAATGGCTAAGATTTTGGGTCAAAATTGGAAGGTTGAGATGGGTCTGACCGTAGATGGGGTTCTGTGTGTGAGGGCCAGTAAGATTGGTCGAAACGGAATCTTTATGGATTGAAGGGTTAACGAGGGAAATTTTGGCTAACATTTTGTAGGGTGGGGTTTTCGGACATTCTGGGTTGATTGGTGGGATCAATTTCGCCCGACTAGGCCGTATTGGGCAGATCTGGAAAGGATTCGATTCGGTTTAATTTGGGGGCTCAAAATAGAATCTTTGTTTAATCTAGGGTAAATGAAGGTATTTTGGGATGGAATTTCTCAGGGCAGGGTTATGGGTAGTCTAAGATGATTGGTAAAATCAGATTGAGCCAACTAGGCCTGGATCGGGCAGACTTGGAATTCGGTTAAACTAGAACCTCGAAATAGAATCTTTGTGTGATCGAGGGTAAATGAAGGTGTTTTGGGCTGGAATTTCATATGTAGGAGTTTTTAGGTATTCTGGGGTGATTGGAAAAGTTTGGTTGTCTTAGATGTGCTCGGATCAAGTGGATATGGGTTGTGGGTGCGAGAATGGTCTAAACGAAATCTTTGTTTAATGAGCAAGTGAACGAAGGAATCTTGATTTCAAATTTCATGGGTAGGTGTTTTGATATGTCCTTGGTCTGATGGTTGTGTCTGATCTAATGGTTGAGGTGTAAGTGAAGGTCGATTGGGGCCATCGTATAGGTACCAGACAGGTTTAATGGTGGATCTGCGGTTAGGGTAAAATTTGGGTTTTCTTGGTTTTTGGGTGTTTCAGAGAGATCAGAGGTGTCTGAGCGGGAGTTTGGGGTGAATTGGAGGTTCAGGCGGTGGATCGAGCAAAAATCGGGTGCTGACAGCATACAATGTATATACATGGACCTCGTGTTCCTCATTTGCCCCCACACCATCCACACCAGCACCTTCCACACCGGCATCAGACTCGCCGTCTGCATCCCCGCCGACCACATCGACCTCGTGTTCCTCCTCATTGAAGTTGGGATCTTGATCAACTTGACCCATCATCTCATCAATGCACGCCGAGGTCTTTAATTTATCAAGGTCGAACTCTAGGCACACTGAGGCCACTAGCATTCAGCACAGTTTGAATCCCTGACGAAAAGCGCCACACCTGGACTCCCTTTCCTTCAAGAAATTGGGCGAAGTCTTGAACTCTTTAATTGCACCGACCTCGACAGCATTAACATCATCGATAAACTTCGACCATTGCTTGGTGAGTTCAGCTTCTTTCTCCTACAACTTCCAGTTCTTGAGTCTGAGCTCCTCGATTAGCTTCTTAACCTCCCTCATCAGGTCTGTAATGCGACTCTACTCCTTAACGAGCTCGATCTTCAAGTCGCCGATGAGACAGACAACCCGTTTAATTCGGGACCTGTACTCCATCGCTTCTTCCTCAGAAACTTGGGCCCTCGCCAAACTTTCCTCAGCCTGCCCCAACACGGAATGCACTAAAGTGTTCGCCTACAAAAGAGAAAAAGGGATATAAGTCTAGAATGGATATTGGAATGAATACAATGGAAAGGTTGGGAACATACCACCATGAGGTAATAATAAGATTTCCATCAAGCTCACTTGAATGTGATTAGCAAAGCCCCACGACCTCTTCAGGAAAGACGACCTCCTTGTTCTTAACCAAGGAGGTCCAAATGTCCATGATGGTGTGTCTCTCCTTGGGAATGGCCTCGACGTTCGAACCACCGGGTTTCCTTGATCTCGAGTGGTGGAAGGGGCTCCTCGGATGTATGGGCGGATTTGAACTCTAGTATGGTCCTTTCTAGCTGGTCATCCTCGACCAAGTCAACTACCGGCATAGCCTCTCTAGAACTTCGTGCAGCAATTTCCGGAGCAATGACATAAGGTGCCTCTTGGTGAGCAACATTCCTCTTCTTCCTCTTCACAACCTTGAATAGCCTGGAAGTTGGCATGCCCAACATGTTTCTTGCACAAGAAATCTAAGAGTGAATCAAACTATAAAAAAAAAAGAGAGAGAGAGAAAGTAACGAATAAAAAGAAGGGAAATGCCCAAGCTTGAAACGATGACCTACGTAGAGGACTCAGCCCGGCCTAGATCAGCTTCTCCTTGGCCAAGTATTCACTCAACATTGATTTCCAGTCCACTAGGACCTACACCCTCATCTTCATCCACTCACTCAGAGTTTCATCCATGGTGTCCTTCATTCCCTCTCTCAATGTTGTCAAGAACAGCCATTCGCCACTTCGGTCAAGGAAGAAATACTTCCTCTTCCAGGCTGGTACTTTGGAGGGGTAGACATTCTACAATGTACGCCCAGGGTAGTAGGACAAGTAGTAATTGTACATCCCGGGAGTACTGAAAGGATTTTTCTTTATATGGCATATGCCGGCAAAGGTCTTAAGATCTAGGGGGGAAGCTGACGTGGTGACAAAAGGAGATGGTGTTGACCAGGGTCCTAATAAAGTTGGGATAAAACTAATCTAGGGTAATATTATAGTAGCTCAACACATCGGGAATAAGTGGATGAAGGGGGAATCGAAGACCCGCTTTTAGGGCCTCCTCGAAGACAGTGACATCATTTTCATCATGCTCCCACAAGGGTTGCCTAAGCGGAAGGGAATATCTGAACTGATTTGGAACCCTATATTGAGCTACGAGCTTGTAGATGTTCTCGATAGAGAGCTTGTTGGAACCAAATTGGTCCGATGCTTTAGCCCTAGATGGCTGTCGAGAAGATGAGGCCCTCTTAGGAGAACCTCGTCGGTCTTGAGCCGAGGTCCCTTACTCGGCCTAGTAGGACGAACCCCTCACTTCCCTGGACTCAATTAGGATGACTCACTTAGGATGAATAAACTGACCTCATCGGCAACATCGATAACTTTGACAACGCTGAGCTCCATGATCTTACTGTGCACCGGAACTCTAAAGTTTGGGACGAGAGAAATGGGCCCCCAAGGGTCCTATTTATAGATAGATGAATTGAACTATGGACAGTTGAGACTAGTTGGATCCAACGGTTCACAAGAATGCAACAATTCGTATTCCGAGGCAAAATCAATTTAATGTGTTTTAGACGTCTAAGCGACCTAATGGTTGCATGTCATTTGTGCGTCTCCGATATGCTACCTCGTGCCTAGGCCGGACCGACCAAACCAACCCGATCATGAGCCATTGGTCAGACCACAATCGAGGACAGAACTCAGACCAAATCACCTCAGCTTAAGACTACTCCCTCACTGGATTGATCATGCTAGACATGGGAGTGGGCGCAATTGATGAGGGGTAATTTGGTCCTCCAATGATATCACGACAAGTGGCATTGCAGAACGGCAGAGTGACACCTCGACACCATGTAATCAGACCTCAGAAGCACTTTCGACACTTTACAACTGCATTGATGACCTCGGCACCACCTTGGTAGGCCAAATTATGGACAACTAGGCAAGACCTCAAGTCAGCGTAAAAGGCGACTTACTTCCACCAGTCTGACTTGACTCCGGTTAGCGACCTGCCTGACTTGCCGAGCGACCTCCCCCTTAAGCGGACTATCACCTTTGAATTCCCCAGGATCACAACGCCACATTGGAAGAGCTGGTTATCACCTTGCCTGCTTCAGGTGGGATTGGATAAACATTACCCGCTTATGCGGAGTCCACATTCAGGCGTGAAACCACCTCCGAACGAGACGGGCCGGAGATCCCGGACACATTTTGTGAGGGTGAACGAACAACAACCTGTTTTGCTTGAAGTTCCTTTGTTTATAGCTAGTTGGGTCTTTGTGTTTCTTTTATCCTTGTTCTCTTCTTTACTTAAATGGGTGTCTGAATTTCTAAGCGTACTGCACTTACAATCTTGTGTTAAGAGGAGGAGCAAATTAAGGTGAAGATTTCCGTCGATCGAGGGTTTAATTTGCACAGTTGAACTTTCTCTCTCGCTCTAAGAGTCAGGTGCTCCAATGACAAGGAGTAAAATGGGCTTTCAATTTTTCAGGTTTTAGGCTCCACTTTGGAGTTGCAAATTAAAAGAGCTTCCAACTGTTGTTGGAGATGGAGAGTAGATCCATGAAGGGAGGTAATTAACAGTGGGGTGGGGGCAAAAATGACATGAAGAAGAAGAAATTAAGTGAGAACATATCAACATACATGCTTATTGTAATTAATTAATGCAAATGGAAAGTACATATATAAATATCCCAACATGGACAGTATACCAATCTTGGGTTAGACTGACATGACCATGCTTAATTATTAATTCTTATGCTTCATCATACTCAACTGGATCGAGCTTCACTGGTGCAATTTCAGGTGCATCAAGTATACCTTTGAGATCCCCAGTGGAGACTTCCAAATACTCTCTCATAAACGCCACAATAATCCCCCCAACGCATCTCCTCATGAGGTCCTTGTCACCATCTCCACTTTTACACAGACTACTTGATAATGTGCCTAGAATACCTTTGCAATTGTCATCTAACATGTCCATATGCCCGTAGTCCGCTGTAACCATGTGGTAACGAGGGTGCTTGCTTTCGTCGTAGAACTCTTGATGGCTCACTTGAGGTGGGGCACAAGGACAAAACAGTTTAATCTTCCTTTTCTCTCCCAGTCCAGTTCCTATCACCATAACTGGGATCCCGAGATTGAATGAGCGAGGTTGGTAAGTTAAGATTTTTGGTGGACATTCGCACCCTTTACATTTTCCTGCAACTGGGTCTAGTCCTATTAATACAGAGAATGCAAGTGAGGTAGGAGCGAGGCCAAGTGCAAGCGCAAAAGCGGCTTTGCCACCTCTACTATGGCCGACTAAGGCAAGCTTTTGAAGGTTTGGCTGGGCTTCCCCCGGGATCACAGATTTTAGGCCTTCAGAGAACCAGTTTGTCACCAGAGCTGCACAACAAATCTCCTCACCAAATGGTAACTGAAAATCCAAATGCTCCCGCCCATATTATCCATCACTATATAAGGCATGTAATAGCTAGTAATTCACAGGTCTAAACGGAAGAAAGAGATGAGAAAAGGAACCAAACCTGTGGGGCCACGCATATAAAGCCATGGGAAGCTATGTGTGTTAGGAGCTGGGTGTAGAAGACATTGGACAATGCAGTGCCATGAAGAAAGAGGAGAACCGGGTACTTGCCGCTTTCTGTTGGTGAGACGATTCTTAATGGCTTTGGAGAGCAAACAGTATCTTTTACTCCTACACTGAATTTTCCTGTTTCGAATACCCCTGTAGTAGTAGCAGCAGCAGTAGGAAGATTTACCTCCAAAAGTGCCATCTCTCTCTCTCTGAGCAGAGTACTGTATGTCTGTATGTGATCAGATCTGAGATGCCCGAAATTTATAAGTGAAACTTCAGCACTTTAAACGTTTTGAATGTTGGAAATTAAGGTCCACGGTGCAAATACAAAGTGGGGACCTTCTTTATGGCTTTTATTGAGTGAACGAGAGATAAATTGCCCAGAAAAAAAATGTTGATTGAAAGGAGATTGACAACCATGTCTTCGATATATGGTGATCCAACGCCCACCATACAAGACAAGTATCGATAATGATGGAAAACCTAACTCCGGGTGCAAAGCATAGAAATGGAAAAAATAAAATAATGGTGGCATAAACAAGGTCCATGATGTATATCCAAATTTTTGGGAAAAACAATTCCTTTCTTCTACAGCACTGGTGTGTCCGGAAACATGTCATTAATCACTTCGGAACACTAGTTTTAATATTTATAATTTTTTTTCCGATTCTCAAACAATTACAAATGCAGTAAATGGTGAGAACGGGTCGTATCCACAAGGAAGCAAGGGAAAAATTGTTATTTACTTAAATATGGGAAAGAAAACATATTAGAGAGTTGCAAAAACATAGAATTTAATTAATTAAACTAAAATTCATTAAAATAAAATTCCAATAGTGTTGGAAGTGAAAAGTGCAGAAAAATAAATAAATAAATAAAAGGATCGAAATAAAAAGTCTATAATCCGATCAGAGGTAACAGTCTCTAGAGCTCTCCTTTGACCCTCAAACTTCTCGAGTTAGGCCTTCCATCTTATCTGGTCGAATTCCAGATCTGCAGAAAAGAAAACAAAAATCAAACTAAATGAAAGTAAATTGCAAAAAGGAAAAAACAGAACTGGAAATGAAAGAACAAAAATTAAATCTAAGACTAATGGTTGGGATCCGAATCCAAAGGTGGCAGTAGTGGCTTAGGCGAACTACAAACAGGAACCCCTCTTCTTGCCTGGGCATCCTCCTCTTCCTCTACCCTTGAACTTCTCAAGATCAACCTTTTGTTTTACCTAGGGGCAGAATCCAACCCTTTCTCAGGAGCCCTTGGGTCATTTTTATAGAGAAAGATGGATACAACTGGGATTAAAGAGAAAGAGGGGGGTGGCAGTTGGGTTTTAGCAAAGATATGGGCACCCTAAAGTTTCTAATTATGGGTTAGGATGGTTATGGTTGATCCTAAGGCAGAAAAGAGAAGGAGAGGGCGTCCAATATTATGTAGGGCTGAGATTTAGGAACTCAGAAATGGAGGATGGAGATTAAGGTGCCTAGGGTTAAAAGGTGGAGATTAAAAGGAGTGGGTGGCGCCCTAGAGTGGATGGCTGAGATAGAAAATGGAATAGAGGGCTGAGATCTAATGACTAGGGGCTGAATGGTGAGGATTAGAAGTTTGGTGGCGCCCTAGGGTTAAAAAGCTAAAAAGACAGTGCCCTAAAATGAATGGTGGAGATTAGAAGGGATGGAAGGTGGAGATTGAGCAGCTAGGGGCGGCTAGGGTTTACTAAGGATGAAAAGAATGAGCTTGAAGGTGCCCTAGGGTTTGCTAATGAGAGGGGAGAATGCTAATACAGTAGGAGGGGCGTCATTCTGGGTTTAGCAGATAAGAGATGCCTCCTGTTCTTAGTTTTTCACAAAAACACCCCCTCTCTCAACTAGACTTCACACCAGATTCCCAAAAACTGCATTTCAGCCATGAAACTTCCCCAGTTTTTCACAAGATTTGCACAGAGACCCTCAGAGGTCACAATATTGAATTTAACTGGGAAAATGGACATTTTGATTATTCTAAGGCGTAAAATACCCCTAAAATGATGCCCTTAAGGCATCAAACTATAGAGTTATCACACCCCCCAATTTAACAATTGCTAGTCCCTTAGAAATGCAGCCTTAAAATTACACTGAGTAAAGAGATCATTCYCATTGCAAGATCATCTCTCACAAAATTAGCCAAATATCTTGATAAGCTGAGATTGATTTTTGCAGACTGTCTTGATAAGCGGAGATTTATTTTTGAAATCAAGTGGGTATTCTTCTTATAATTTTTGATAGTGGATTTCTACCCCTGAACTTGATATGCACACTTATTTTTATTGTTACCTTCCACCATTTTACGTGAATCTCGACACTTGCCTTAGGTGAAGAGACCCAGTTACTAAGTCTTAAGTAAGTGTCTTTGGCATTCCCTTTTCCATTTGATGTGAATCTCGACACTTGATTTAGGTGAAGAGACCCGGTTACTAAGTCTAGGGTGTCCATTGACCTTTTTTTTGTTGCAACATTGTTCAAGGCAGTCCATTGTTTCTAACAATTTGAAGAATTTTTGTCTAATTTCTCCATCTTTCTCTTCTTATCTTGGCAGGGGCAAACTATTTTCCAATTTCTAAACGGTTTCAACAATATTCAAATAAGACCAATTTTTACTCCTATCACTTGCTACCAATTTCTACAAACTTGAATATTCTTTTATCAGTTTCCTCAACTTTTTCTATTTGGGAATCTCTTTTAATGGAAATAAATTTTAAATTTTCTAATGAAATTTTAATTCTACATATTTAAAGGTTTAGCTTCTCTTTTTTTTTTTCAAAATTTCATTTTTTTCCTCTCTTTCCTCACCCCCAACTTAAGTGTCATTATCCCCAATAGCATGACTAGGCTGATGCAAAAAGGACTTGGGCCAAAGGGAACAATCAATAGGATTTTCCTAAGGGGTTCAAGGTCCGCCACCTAGTCTTGAATCAAAAAAAAAAAAAAAAAAAGAGAAAAAAACTCAAATCCTAACAGCAGAAACACTAAAAACTACGTTGGGTTGCCTCCCAACCAACGCTAAGTTTAATGTCTTCAGCCAGACACATCCATTCACTTCTTCCATCCAAACTCTCAGACTCACTTTCTTCTTCATACAAACAGGGCTCAGACTGGGCTAACCAAGGGGTAGACAAGTCATCCAAAAGATTGTCCACTATATCCACATTGCACTCATCTTCCCCTAGGTTTGGATACTTAGAGGCACTAAAAACATTTAACTGGACTTTCTGCTCCCCAAATGAAATGTCCATTTCTCCCGATTTACATTTGATGTTTGCATTGACCGTTGCTAGAAACGGTCGTCCTAAGATTATCAGGTTATGGTTCAGTTTCTCAGTTGGTGTTTTGTCTATGGCAACAAAATCTACTGTAAAATAACAGTCCTCTATCTTAACAATGACGTCCTCGATAATACCTCAAGGAGTTTTTACTGATCGATCAACGAGTTGCAGAATTATAGGTGTAGGTTTTAACTCACAGATCCTGAACCTTTCATAGATGATGAACGGAAGCAGATTTACAATGGCCCCAAGATCCAATAGGGCCCAACCGAAGGTGATTCCATAGATGACATATCTTATGAGAGGAGCACCCGGGTCTTTCATTTTTCGAGGAAGTTGGTTCAGGAGGACCACACTAATATCTACCAAGAGCATCACTTTTTATGGGGCTGATCGTGGCTCCCTCTTTTGAGTGCACAGCTCTTTTAGAAACTTGGTGTAGGGCGTGACTTGTTGGATCGCGTCGAGGAGAGGGATGTTAATATGGACTTGTTTGAATAATTCCTTGATCTCCTCGTTGTGCATCTCTTTCTTCTTTCGCAATGGCCCGACTGTGAGTTATATTGGAAAGGGGACTACAGGTTGGTTCACTATGGGCTCTTCTTCTAAAGTTTCCTTTCCTCCTTTTCCCCTCCCCCCCCGCAACTTAGGGTCTTCTTGCTCCTTTTCTTCTTCTTTGACTTTCTTTTTCTCATACAGGTCTTCTAAAATCCTCCCATTCCTTAAGGTTGTAACAGGTTTGGCATTTTCGAACTGAGGGTTCTTATGAGGTGGGGGAATTTGTTGTGGAGGAAAACCCAGTGGCTGATTTCTAGGATTTGCAACCGGTTGACTCGGTAATTGCCCTACTTCTCTCCTCGCATTGGCTTCAACTAGTTATCCTATTTGGATTTCTAATTTGGCAATGGACTGCTGTTGATTTAGGATAATCTATTAAAGTTGCAAGAATTGATCATCTACTGTACAGGTTTGAGGAGATTGTGGGTAAGCCTGATACGGTTGAACCGGTTGATTCCTAGGGTACATATGCTGGAATTGACTCTACACTTGTGGCCTCTAAAACTGTTGGGCCATGGAGTTAGATAGGTGGTACTACTGGGACTGTGTGTAGGTTTGACATGGTTGAGCCGGTTGAGTCCCAGGGTTATCATTATACTCATAGTGAGTCTGGGCTTCAGACCACTGAGAGTGTATATCTGGTAGGGTGGTTTCTTGGACTTGGGCCCTATAAGTGAAGTTGGGTTGGTTTTCCCACCCAGGGTTATATGGGCGAAAGAACGGGTTAGCATTGGGTTGGAAAAATCTGTTGGCTGCATGTACTTGGTCTGGAATGGCTGGTTGACATGGGCCCGCCGCAAGACACTAGTTAACATGATGGGCCGGTCTTGCATAGACGGAACATGTTGGATAGGATGACAAGGTTGGGTATAGGCCACTTTGTTGACGAAATGCAAGGACTTGATCAAGTATTTGGGCTATCCCATTAATCCTATTCAGTTGATGAGACACATGGTTCCAATCTATCCGTGACTCAGGTTGGAAGTAGTTTCCCGTTCCACAAACTCCGACCATTGAATTCATTTTATCTTATTTTGTTTTAACCACCCTTTTTCTTCTTTTTTGAAATTTAAAATTTAAATTTTGAATTTTAATTTCAAATTTAGATTTTGAAATTTAAATTCTACAATTTAAACTCAAATTTGATATTTTTCTTATTTTATTTTATGTTTTTATATTTTATATTTTCTCTTTTTTTTTGAAACTTGAAATTTAAATTCAAATTCAGATTTTGAAATTTAAATTCCTGAAATTTAAATTCAAATTTGAATTTTTATATTTAAAAAAAATGCAAGCAATTCACACAAATGACCTATAGGCTGACCTAGGGTTTCCTAAACTAGTGGTTCAATGAAT